CCGAATTATTATTAGATAGAATTGTTATACAAATTCATATACGTATACATACACTTAATATACCTTCAAAAATTTTATCAAAATCACTTATTTTAAATTATATACTTACGTCCAAAAACCTTTCGATTGACCTTGAACATTTTAAATACTTTAAAATTAAGCGATAATTAAATTATAATCCTGTGTGCTTAAAAAAAATATGGAGTATTTGTATATAAACTTATAATTTTATATTTACCCCAAGCGAGTTTGAAGTATACCAGTTAACTACTAACATACATATCTAATTTACTTTGAAATATCAGACTTTGTATATTTTAATCTATAATAATTATTGTACCTGTATTTCGATAAGGACAATATTAATTATTTTATGAATGTTGAAAATGACAAATTTCTTTTTTTTTGTCTGTTATACTTATCTAAAGATTTTTAAAATTATAAAAATATAAAAGAAAAATATTATTTAAATAAAAGAACTATATAGTACATTATGTATAGGTACTTGACATATTTTGGAATTTATGACATTTTATTTCTGCATATGAAATGTTAGACGTATTAAAGAGAAAAAATACATTTCTGCTTTGAGAGTGTTATACTCGTATAATACTGGTAATAAAATAATTTGTAAATTTAAAAATTTTTATTAATTTTATATTTTGTTTTCGACTTTTTGTTGACCAATTATAATTCTGAATTTGTATATGTATATGTAAAGAGGTCAATGTAATTATTTATTAAATACAATAAGTTGTCAATTAATTCACATACGCAGTGAAATCTTTATATAACAAAAATTTAATATAACAATTGATAATTCTTTGTACATAATATTTAAGCATTATATAACAATGTATTTTAGTAGTAAATCGATTTCAAAATCTCAAAAATTTTGACAAGTAATTATTCTTTAAATACGTCTTTTAATAATTAATGAGGGGGGTGTAATTATACTTGGTTCGAATGTATGGTAAATAAAGTTCGTAATATGAAATTTAATTTGCGAGTTAGTTATATAATATATAAGTATTATAAAAATTGAGTTTTACTCTGCAATTTATCACCATTTTAAGTTGATTGCATTGAAAAAATTATGACATTTTAGATAATGGGCACACTTTTGCAAAATTTTTTAATAGTTTAATGACTTGAACAATATTGATTAAGCTGCAATATGAACATAAAATCAATAGAATATCTCTCAAATGTATTCTAAATGTGAATATACGCTTCACAAAGGTTTGCAGAGGTATGTTCAGTAATCCAATAAAAATTATTAAATTTATCAATAAATCGATTAAGTAATTTTTATCGATAACATTATCATTTTTATAAAATTTATAATATATGTATATTAATAGTGTATAAATTTTCTCACATACTTAATACTTATAAAATTTGTAGAACAATAATTATAATGCCTAAATGTATGCATACCCGTTATGTATATAAAATGTATAAGAGAGAAATTTATTTAAAAAATTTAATAAAAAGAAAGATGTTATTCATAATTTTTATTTGATATCTTTATTATTAAGTTAAAAAAAAAATATTTTATGTACAAATAGACAACAAAAAGATAAATATAAATAAAAATTAACAAGAAAACAAATATGATGACAATCATTATGAATTAGCATATTATCGGGCGTTCACAAAAATTGTGTGTATAACAACAATAATAATTGTAAAATAAGATTTTTTTTTTGGGTTTGTTTTTGCTGCTTCTGATTTAAGTAAACGGAATTCTGTTTAACCCATTTTTATTATTGAATTTGTTTTTGTTTTTTTTTTATTATTTTGAGAAAAAAAATTGTCAATTTGTTCAAGTTGTTACCAGCAGCTGTGATCAAAATTATTATGATCGTATAACTATACTTTTATATTTACTTACATACCTTTTATTATGATTATAATTTTAGTGTGAATAATCTATAACTAATATATAATTTTAGTGACTTTCCTATCCTTGAAAAACTTTATATAATTTAAGGTCAAATTCTATTAAATATTTTTGAGTTGACCTTGCTTAAGTATATTAACTTTTTGATATTTTTATTTTTGCTTTTGATTTTTAATTTTAAAAAATAGTTAAATTTTTAGTTAAATTGATTCTTTTCTAGTTTAATTGATTTCATGCATAATTTCATTAAATAATAATGATCATAGTGATATATTGTAATATAACAGTTTAATTAGTTATTATCTAATGAAGTTTAAAAAATGACACAGTTTAAGAAATAGCTTGTCTTTAAATGGTGTCATATCACACTTTTGAATTGTTTACTCGAAACATCAAAAATTGTAGTTGACACCTTCATTCACTCGTGTCTTCAATTGTAAATAAAAAAAAAACAATTCATAATATATTTAATTATTTCACATTTTTATAATTGTTTAAATTTCAATATTATATAGAAGAAACAATATTAATTACATATTATTACATTTATTAAGAATTTCAAACAAAAGAACCCTATAGAACAATAATTAAATATATAATCATTAATTTGTTATATTGTAAATGAAAATTATGTAGCACTGAGTAAAAATGACAGAAATGATGAAATAAATATAACTAATTATGTTGATCATTTGTAAAAATATTGTTTTAACTCAAAAAATATGCCGATTTCGGTAAACTATATATGAAGGTTAGATTAGATTAGGTTAACGGGGCCCGTAGTACAGATAATGCCGCGAAGGGTACACATTAGGTGGCTTATTGTGATACCGCCGGATCTCTCCTTTTTCGCCCCTCATTCGAACCAGCCGGAACTCCTCAAAAATCGGCCAACTAGCTCCTAGCATTTACGTCTGCTAAGTCCGCAGCGCAACCGAAGAAGTAAGACCCAAGATATCACTGTTTTCTCCCCAACCTCGAAAACTAAAATATATGAAAATACTTTTCCAATTCAGTTTAGTATTATATACAATAAATAATTTCTGATAATGTGGTCTTCAAAACCTAAAAAGTGAGATTTTATGAATTAAAACATTTTTGTTATATTCGATGTACATATATATACATATATGTATATATAACGTATAACCTCTTGAAAACACGTTTTATGATAATAATGTCCATGTTAACTTTTTTAATTATTATTAGATTTTATTTTTATTTAAATAATCGATTTAACACTTATTATGCAATAACATATTGAAATTAAGTAGATGCGTAGGTACTGGTATAATGTATAGGTACATACTTGTATACACTAATTAAATTGTGCATAATTTTTAGCCTAATTATAATATCTTCAATCTTATAAATAGAAATTATATACATACTTATACAATCCTCTTGAATTCAATTGGAATTTGATCCCAATATTCAAAATATTAGATAATAAAAAGAGGCACTATATACACAATTTTATCAATGAAAATATTACGCTTTTGTATAATTATTAATTACTTAATTCTAATACTTATTTTTATACGTATTTATTTGGTTTCACAAAATTATTCAATAAAATATAATTAATTTAAAAAATAATAATTTATATTGTATACAATAGCACATTTAAGCCAAAAATTTTTAAATTTTTTTTCCTTACATCACCGGGGGTACAGTAGAACCTTCAACTTCATTTTAGAATCAAGCATCAGTTTCACAATTCATTGAGTTAAATATAGGTCAGCTGTGACCAGCGTACCGTAAATTTTTTTTCTTCATATTAATTGTTTATTTATACAGCTTGATATTTATTGTTTATTTTTGTTGATACTCAATATCGGATAATATGGACCTATAGGCAATATTTTTTATGTTAACATTTTATTGTTTACATTAAGCTAATAATTAAAGTGGCCTGACCAGGGCTTGATCACGAGGCTTTTCGATTGGACTTTTGCCATAATGACTGCATCATTGGTCAACTTCAAAAATTATTATAATTTCTTACGTTTCTTATGATTTATAATTTCTTAAACATCATAATTTATTTAAAAATTCTTAATTTAAAATTTGTCTTAAAACACAAAAGCTAGTCACGTTTTTTTGATTGTTTATCATTAATGGCATTATAAAAATTATTTTAATCTTAATTTTCATTATAATTATTATTTTTTTAAAATTAAAAGTACTATTTAAAAATTAAGTTGGAAAATCCATGAGAAAAGCAATTGGCGTGTGGGTTTCAATATTTTCTTTGAATTTGTTTATTTAAAATACTTATTTACATACTTATAATATAAATTTTAAAATATTTAATTGACATTTATCAAAATATAGCTAATAACAATTAACTATTAATTCAAGTATTGAAAATTATCTATAATTTATTGGTATAATAAAAAATAAATTCAAAACCATAATTTAATTAGTTCTGTATTATAAAAATTTTACCGTTTTACCTTCAATAGTACCGTTAAAACAAAAACAAAAATAATAGTATAAAATAAATTTTAATTAAAAAATTAAATATTTTATTCTTAAATCTTTTAATCATGGTTATTAAATAAAACCTACTTTAATTTTTTTTTTAAAGTTGAAATTCTCAATAACGCGATAATAATTGATACAATTAGGTATGAATTAATTTTACAATTAGTTTAAAAGTAATAAAATAATTAATAAAAATTTTTTCGCATAACAATTTAATATTACAAAAATTTTAGTGTTGTCAGGCTTATTAAAAATTCACGTGTCAATTTATCAGATGGCTGTGGATAATTTTTTGAATTAATTAGAATAAATTTAAAAGCTTTCATAGTTTGTTTTCTTAAAATTTATCCAATTTGTGACTTATAGGAAGGAAACTAGAACCATGACTGAAAAACTTTTTCAAAAACAAATATTTAAAATTAAGTATATCCAGAGCGCTTGGTAATGATTAAAATATTTCAATCGAATCTCAGTGGAAATTTCGTGGGATATAATCTTTTAGTTTAAAGAGCATTAATAGTAAATTTATAAAATGCACGAAATTATTAAATAAATTTTATTTTTAATTGAAATTTTAACTATAATTGTAATTTTTTCTTTTCAGGTTTTCTTATACCGCAAAGAGTTGTATTGGCAATAATGGGATTTTTTGCAATAGTAAATGCATATACAATGCGTATATGTTTATCAGTAGCAATAACCGAAATGGTTGCCAAAAAGAATAAAACCAACGCTTACATATCTAGTGAAATGGTAAAATTATTTTATATTTTTTTATAAATTTTTATTTTAAAAAATTTAATAAAATATTTTAGGATCCACAAACACATTTATTTGATTGGTCAGAACAGCTTCAAGGTACAATATTATCATCATTTTATTGGGGTTATGTAATAACACATTTACCAGGAGGTTATTTATGTGAAAAATTTGGTGGAAAATGGGTTTTAAGTTTAGGAATTTTATCTACTGCAATATTTACTTTAATAACACCAGTAGCTATAATTGAAGGTGGTTCTGGTGCACTTATTGCTGTTCGAGTTTTAATGGGCTTAGGTGAAGGTACAACATTTCCAGCTTTATCAGCACTATTATCACAATGGACACCGTTAGGTGAAAGAGCAAAATTAGGTGCATTAGTATTAGGTGGAGGTCAAATTGGTACAATTATTGGAAATATGGTTTCTGGTTTATTATTACATAGTTTCCATTGGGATTCTGTATTTTATTTCTTTGGTGCTTTAGGTGTTTTATGGTTTATCTTATTTGTAAGTAGAATTATAAAATTATTAATTAATAATTATGCGATCATATTTTTTACAAACTAATTTCAATTTCTTAAATATTTTAGACATTGTTATGTTATAGTGATCCAAATTCACATCCCTATATCTCAGATAAAGAGAGAGATTTCTTAGCAAAAGAATTAGGTTCAATTGAACGTAATAAAAATTTACCACCAGTACCATGGAAATATATATTTACAAGTGCACCAATGTGGGCATTAATTGTTGCACAAATTGGACATGATTGGGGATTTTTTGTAATGGTTACCGATTTACCAAAATATATGGCGGATGTATTAGAAGTTTCTGTTAAAGAAAATGGTTTATATTCATCTTTACCATATGCTGTTATGTGGGTTGTTTCAATATTATCAGGATTTGTTGCTGATTGGATGATAACAAGAGGAATAATTGGTGTTACATTATCTAGAAAATTATGTACAATTATTGGTAAGTAATTTGTATTTTTGCTTTAAATGTTATAATATAATATTACATTTTTTTGTTTAAATAAAAATAGCTGCTGTGGGTCCTGGTATATTTATGGTAGCTGCATCATATGCTGGTTTAGATATTGGATCAGTTGTTGCATTATTTACAATATCTATGGGTATTATGGGTACATTTTATTCGGGTATGAAATTAAATCCATTAGATTTAAGTCCAAATTACTCAGCAACAATTATGGCAATAACAAATGGAATTGGTGCAATAACTGGTATTATAGTACCAATAATGGTTGGAGCAATGACACCAAATGTAAATTTAAATTTAATAATATTTAATTTTTTACGATTATTAAAATATTTTTTTTTTAATTCATAATTTCAGGCTAGTTTAGAAGAATGGAGATTAGTATTTTGGATTGCATTTGCAGTTTTTGTTGCATCAAGTATAGTATATGCAATTTGGGCTTCAGGTGAAGTACAACCATGGAATGAACCGGAAAATCTAAAACCGAGATTAATTGAAAATGGTATTGAAGATGACAAAATAGATACATCGGACAAGAATAAATCGAATGCTTAGATCTATTTTAGTATTTATTTTCTTTTTTTTAGGTTATTGATAATAATTATTTATTAAAGAAAAATAAAGATTTTTAGCATAGAGAGGAAGCAAACAAAAGTTAATATTTTTATAAATTAACTGTTTTGATCAATAATATTGCGATTATAAATATTGTTACTCGTCGAATAAGGCACACATTAAATATTAATTTTTTTTTTATATCATAAAGCATATTTTAAAATAAAATTTTATATTGCAATCAATAGATTATTAAGTAGTAAATTTCAACAATCTATCCGATTTCAAAATTAATCCAATGGGCGTCATAAATTCAAAGAAATATGCTTTTTTTTTATATGTTAAATTTTAAACAAAAAATATATACTTGTAGTGAAGCTTATAAATTGATATTATCATAATCGCATTGGTTTATAAACCAATTAATTGACTTTTGTTTGTGACCAAATTTTAATCGCAGAACAAAAAAGATCATCAAGTACAAAGAATTTTCATACTAGCAATTTAAAATTAAAATTAATTGCTTATATTGTAAATTTATAATAAGTATATAAGCAGTTAATGCTAATTACAAGATCCATGTATTATAATTTAAGAAAACCATATTTTAATAAAAGAATTTAGGTATTTGTTACAATTTTTGACTGTAGAAAAATATATAAATATTGCTTATATATAAATTGATATCATAGAATAAAACATCTAATTAATTGAATGTTTTAAAGTATTTTAGCTTAAATAAAAATATAAGAGGGTATCAAAATCATTGTGAATCCAATGCCAATTTACTTCATTAGTACTGGACTCCTTATAGAATATAAATAATCAATATTATTATATATGTACTTAAAAAATCATGTTACTCAGTCAGGAATTTTGTAATTATCTCTTGAATACAAAAATCAATTATAGACAATATTATAATATGAAACTGTGTTATTTAAATAAATTTATATAATCGCACCGTTTAAAGGTGTATTTTTTTTTGAATAGAATAATTAAATTAAATAATATATAAGAATTTTCATGTACTAAATCATTTGTTTATTATAATAAAAAATATTTGTTAAATTGAAAACGATTGCTTTTTGTAAGGAATCAACTTTAGATGAATAAAAATTTCAATTTTTTCTATACATATTATCGTTATTCTTGGAATTAATATTGAAACTCCTCACATCAATTTTTCAGCTATAAGATGCAACTTGTGTCTAAAATATTTTATGTATAAAAGCCTCATTAGTACGTATTTCTTTTAAATAAAATTCAATTTTGGGTGAAAATAATGTATGTATTTAATTAATGTTCTTTTTAAAACTTATCATTTACAAAAAATCAACGTTTAACAATAATATCCAGTTTTAGAATGTTTTGTTCTTATATACTTTATATTTTTCTTTCTTTAATTACACAAATCATAGACTTAAGTCTTATGTAAATTTTACAAAATGAAAACATTTTTACAAGACAAGTGATTTTAATGAAAATTTTTAAATAGTGTTTTCAGAATTGTGATATTTTAACATTCTACTTTTCAATTTTGCATTGCATTCTTAAAATTTTTGACTTAGAATTATAATAACATATTGGTTTCTTTAATCTTATACATATTTTCATTTTCCCATAATTATTTGAATTAATTATGTTTATATAATATCTTATATGACGTAGTTTTAAAACCAATATGTTATAAATATAAATACATTATTTAACAACATTTTTAACACTCTAAAATGAAGAAAAAAAATGATGGTAAAGATCAGATTGAATGAATAAGCCTAAAATTATTTGAAAGTCTATTATAGGAATATTCTGAAATCTAAATGAAATACAGCAATAATATATAAAAATGATTGACAATTATTGTTAAATTATTTTTTTTCACAAAATAAAATCTTACATAATATATATATTAATAGTATTCATATAGTTAAATTATGTATATATGTGTATATATATATATTGTATTTTTTTTTAAATAACTATTGAGGTGGCGTGATTCCAGCTTGTACCAGTGATGTTATTGCTGACATATCAATCCCTAATTTTCTAGTAACATTAATTTGGGCTCTCGCCGCATTTCTTAAAGCATATAAATGTGCCATTTCAGTTTGTCCTTTTGCTAATTTAATCGCTTCTTCAAATAATTCTATCGCACGTTCTAAATTTCCACGTTGCACTTCTATCGTACCTAATGTTTCATATGCTAATTCGCATTTTTCATCAATTTCAATACTTTTTTTAATTAAACTTAATGCTTTTTCAATATCTCCATTCCATTGTAAATGCATTATACCACGATGAACATAAAGAGCAGCATTCTCAGGAGCCATTTTTATTGCTTTCTCAAAGAATGAATCTGCTGAATCATATTGTCCTTGATCTGTAAGTACTTGAGCCATCAAACTGTAACATTCGACACAATTTGGAAATTTGTCTATAGCATTTTTAAATTCATTCATAACAGATAACAAACGCATTTGATCTTGAGACATAAATGCTAATCGGTATTCAGCATAAACTTTTTGAACAAATGCCATACCATGTTCTGGTGCCAATTTACAAACTTTATCGAACTCGACAAGTGCTTTATCTACTTGATCTAATAGGAGATATATTTGGGCCCTTTGATAATATACATCGGCATTATTTGGGTCAAGCTTTTCAGCTTCATCAAAATCTTTAAATACTAAATCTCGTTTTTCTGTTTGAACATATAATGAAGCTCGTTTTAAATATGCGTTAACTCTTAGTTTTACGTCGGCGTCCGCTGCAATAAATAAATACTTATAGAAATTATCATGAAATTGCTTGGTTTTTTTTACTTACCATTGTTTATAACTAAATCGAGGTCTTGCTTTGCCTCTTCAAAACATCCTCTTAAAAGATTAAATGTTCCCCTTAGAAGAGTTGCTTCAACTTTATATTGTGATTCACCTTCACTTAGTTCGATTTCTTCAGTACATGCTGATATAACATCGTCAAACCTGTCATCATCCCAAGCAAGTCTAGCTTTAATAAATCCTTTGGAGTCTTCGATGTTTTCAAGTTTCATATTTCTAAGCGTATCGGAAACAAAAGAACGAAAGTAAGTTTTTGTAAAATGCTTTGATGGAAAAACGGGAACCCGATTTTTCATTCCAGATATTGCGTCATCACTACCAGTTTGTTTCAAAATGCGATCAGCAAACATTATTGTGGTATTATTTTGGAAAATTTCTAAAATACATGTTGCTGTAACGTCATCTAGACAGTCTAATAAATCATTTGTTGCTTCATATGCTTTCGCTCTACGAAAATACGCTTTTGTATAACGTGGATTGTATTCTAATGACTTTGTACAATCAGCTTTAACTTGATTCCACTTTTTTAACATTTCATAAGCTGCTGCACGATTTTGATAAAATATTGCCAAATCTGTTTTATTTTCCTTCGGACACTTTTCTATTGCTTTATCATAAAATTTTATTGCTTCATCGAATTTCCCTTGTCTATAACAAACATTTCCGTCGTTCTTATGAATCTGTGCTTCCTTTAATGGTGTTAATTTTTCACCTTCCAATTCTGCAAGCTTTTTCTTCCGATCGATGTCTTTTTCGTTTTCTGATCCATCAATAGACGATAATGATGCAGATTTTAAATCAAAATATTTCTTCTTAGAATCAACAGATCCATCAATTTTATTTGATTTTTTTTTATACATGTAATATCCAAGACCGATAGCTACTGGTGTGCCTAAAATAAAATATAACAAGTGATAAGTAATAGCTTAATTAACAAATTCTCAAGTATAAGATAATTAACGTGTCAAGGTTTTATTTTTATTTTTTTACTTACCTAAAAGTAATGCCATTTGCCATTTTGGTATGGTTGACCCTGCATTAAGTGTGGACATCATTTGAACTGACATATACTTGTCTTTTTATGAGGCTGATATTAGTAAGACTTTAAAAGAAGCGTATCGTTGATTTCAAACGTCTAAAATTATTACAAAAATTTAGGAGAATATAAATAGATACAGCAATTAATACAGCAATAAACATTTAAAGTGCCGGTTCTTGTTTTTTGTGATGATCAATTACATCACAATTTTATTTGCATAGATATGCGAAAAATCTTTCAAATTGTTTTCAAATCTTTTTCTAATTTTTTAAACTTACATTTTAGATTAAATTTATAGTTGCAATCAAAACTAAATCAATAAAACTAAACTTAATTATTTCATTTAAATACTTTTTTTCAATAATTTTTTTAACTTAAGAGGACCTGATAAGAAAACAAATAATTGATTCAGGAAAAATTAACTTCATTTATTGACAGATAAGTTCTGTGAAATAACTGCAAAAGTGCAAATTTTGACGTCACTATATAAGACATGTGCTAACGTTTCCTCTCAAAAATTGATTGACAGTAATGTTATAATACTATTCGAATTGGTTTTTTTCCATATTCTGAGCACTGCCTAAGGAAGTTTCAATGCAAATTAGTAATATAAACTTACATGTATATGCAATGTATGGGAATCAATTATAATTTTAAATTCATAACTTCCTTTACTATTTTCGGGTACAAATGTGGCATATTCTGATTTTAAGATGACTAGGTATGCTCCCACACGTTTGAAGTCACACAAAGTAAACGAAAATCGTGTCTGAAAATCGTCAGTGAAATTATAGACCGTTACTTAAAATTGGCGAACAAGGAAATCCAATTAATTATACATAGATAATAGTTCTTTAAATTTCATTTGACACATTTGTTATTCAAATATTGTTAATCTAGTAGTAAGTGAACGAAACTATTAATTATGTACAATTTTTATTCATTTAAAACTAAAACAAAATGCGTTTAAGTGAACATCAGCTAAATAAATTAATAAAGTTACATATATCCATTTTATAATTTAATTTATAAAATATTTTTTTTCATGAATTTGATAAATTCGAAAATTAACATTTAATAGCTGCCATATAAGCATTGCTAAATTTGATTTTAAGTAACAATATGTAAAAGTTTTTACTTAATGTTAAATTAAAATTCGTTTAGAAATGTTATGGTACAAATTTTGTTTTTTACATCCTACTGCACAATATATAGGTAGATATTAGATATTTACTACAATGGTGAAAAAACAGCAACACTGAGTAAAAATGTCAAATTTGATTACTAATCAGTTGGTAATTGTCAAATGACATTACGGGGGGTAAACATCGATCAAGTTTAATCATTATTGCACAAAGAATTCGGTCGTAAAAATTGAATCTTAAATAATCTTGGAATCGTATCAGCCATAATTATTTGTTGAATTAAAATATTAATATTTAAAAGAAAATGGCTCCAAAAGCTCCCGTAAATGCTGCAAAACCTAACGGAGTTGTATATAAAGACAAAAGTAAACCGGCAGATGTTAGACGAAGTAATATCAATGCAGCTAAAGGTATATAAGGATGACTAATTTCAAAAATCCTAATTTTTTTTATTACAAAATATGGTGTTTTACTTAATTTAAAATCATTATTGTAAATTAATTATCACAGGTGTTTCAAAAATCCTAATAATATGGTTATGTCAATTTCGCGAAAATTCTATTACCAATATTACAAAATTGTAAATGTTGAAATTTTAATATGATTATTAATTATTGATTTGTTTTTAGCGATTTCCGATGCTATTAGGACAAGTTTGGGACCTAGGGGAATGGATAAGATGATTCAAGCTGGAAATGGTGAAGTAACAATAACAAATGACGGGGCTACAATTTTAAAACAAATGAATGTTATACATCCAGCCGCAAAAATGTTGGTTGGATTATCACGAGCACAAGATATCGAAGCTGGGGATGGAACCACTTCTGTGGTTGTTTTAGCTGGTGCGCTCTTAGAAGCTGCAGAAAAACTGCTTCACAAAGGCATTCATCCATCGGCAATATCAGATTCATTCCAAAAATGTGCAGTTAAAGCGGTGGAAATTTTGACCGAAATGTCTACACCGATAGAACTTACAGATCGGGAATCATTAATTAAGAGTGCATCAACATCACTGAATTCTAAAGTTGTGTCTCAACAAAGTAGTTTACTGGCTCCAATTGCGGTCGATGCAGTACTAAAAGTTAATGAATCTACTAAGGAATCCAATGTTGATTTAAATAATATCAAAATCATTACAAGTTTGGGTGGAACAGTTGAAGATACTGAAATGGTTGAAGGTTTAGTATTTACAAGCCGATCAGCTGGAGTGAATGCTCCAAAAAGAATTGAGAAAGCCAAAATTGGTTTAATCCAGTTTTGTATTTCACCTCCTAAAACTGATGTAAGAAATGCTATAAGATGGTTTTAATAAAATTAAAAGAATATTTTCTTTTAGATGGATCACAACGTTATTGTATCAGATTACGCTGCAATGGATCGTGTACTTAAAGAGGAACGTTCTTATATTTTGAATATTGTAAAACAAATAAAAAAAACTGGTTGTAATGTTTTACTTGTTCAAAAATCGATTTTACGGTAAAGAATAATTTAGATCTTATAAAATATTTTATTTGAAGAATGAATTAAATTTTGAATTTTAGGGATGCTGTTTCAGATTTGGCACAACATTTTCTGGATAAAATTAAATGTTTGGTTGTTAAAGACATTGAACGTGAAGATATTGAATTCATTTGTAAAACTCTGGGATGTCGGCCAATTGCATCTTTGGATCATTTTGTTGCTGAAAGTTTGGTTTCAGCAGATTTAGCCGAAGAAATTCCAAGTGGAAGTACCAAATTTGTGAAAATCACTGGAATTCAAAATCCAGGTCGTACAGTATCAATTATAGTTCGCGGATCAAATAAGTTAATATTAGCTGAAGCTGAGCGCTCTTTGCATGATGCTTTGTGTGTTGTTCGATGTTTAGTGAAGAAGAGAGCCCAAATCGCTGGAGGAGGTGCTCCAGAAATAGAAATGGCGTTACAATTAGCACAGTATGCTAATACACTTCAGGGTGTGGATGCTTATTGTTTCCATGCATTTGCTGACGCCATGGAAGTTATACCATCTACTTTAGCTGAAAATGCTGGTTTAAATCCAATTTCTACGGTAACCGAATTGAGAAATCGTCACGCCCAAGGAGAAAAAAATGCTGGAATAAACGTTCGTAAGGGAGCTATTACAGATATTTTGTCTGAGAATGTGGTGCAACCTTTATTGGTCAGTACTTCAGCAATAACTTTTGCGACCGAAACAGTTAGATCAATTTTGAAAATTGATGATATTGTAAGTTAAAATTGACGTAAATTTAAATATTTCAAATTTTTTGTTTTTTATCATAATTTGTTAAAAATTCTTTTTTGTTTTAACTTTATCTAATTTTATTTTAGGTAAACACTCTTTAATTACAGAGATTTTTGATACCATTTATTAACTGGGATTACGCCTTATACAATTGAAGTGTATTACTTTAATATTAACAATTTATGCTCTTTCTCAACTTATATTTTAAATTAATTTAGTTCATAAAATACCATTTTGATGATTTCACATTAATAATATTTCACTCTGTCATAATTCTGAATAAATTTAAATAATGGAAAAGAAAATCATTGTAATTTTTACAAAACTGATATTTTATTTTAATATCTTTATCCAGAAAAACATTATTTCACATGATTTCAATTTTAAAATATGTACATATAAAATGACCATTTGAGTGTTTTAGAATTATTTGTTCAATTGCCTTTAACACCATATGCTTCCGGCATTCTTTCAATAGCGTATTTATGCGATGCAACATACATTATAGGTACACCTGGAATTTTTCTAATTCTATTTTTTAAATCTTTATCATTTGTAGCAACAATATAACATTTATGTTGTGTTATACGGTTAATTATGCAATCATCAGCATATGTACCTTTATGCATACAATGGATTCTTTCAAATCTTGGATCAGATATAATTCTTAGGGCTAATTTATATTTTGCACCCAATTGTTCTAATTCAGCTCGAACACAATCAGTTATATATGGTGTACATTTTGCATAGAGGCAATCCATCATATTTTGAATTATATCTAATTTATTTTTAATACTAAAATTAACAAAATTTGTATCAACAAGTATATGATATGGTGGTCCAAGTTGTGTATTATATTGGAAAAATAAAGCTGAGCTAACTTGAGGAGCATCATTTATTTTAAGATTATGAGGATTTTCTGGTTTTTTTCTAATAACACGTAACTCTTCTTTAATTCGATCATCTGTTGGTTTAATAAGTCTTTTTAGTTGAGCTAATCTTTGCTTTTGTATTTTACGTGTTTTCTTTTGTTTACCCTATCAAAATAAAATAAAAAAATAAACCATTTCTGATAAATTTTGTTTCATAATTACATACCATTTTTTAAAGTAGTACTTCAGAATTCAGAATCAGTAGGGTTTTTATTTTAAAATAAGTTTAAACATTCAATAATTTTTTAAAATATTATTAATTTTTTTACCGAAATTATTTAATAAAAGTACAACGTGTTTTTGTTTACTGGATCTTATGCTGCAAGTATTTATTTGACATATATTTTACCGATGACATTTCTCACATCAGTAAGAATTGCCGTTTTTAATTGTTCTTTTGTTTTATAGTGACATCTGTATGTAAATAGTATAATAAATTTTGTTTTACAATTCCCAGCCCAGTGTGGTAAATAAGATATTTTTGGTTTGGGATATACATTTTTTAAATAAATTGTTGAATTTATAACGGTATTGTTGAATAATTGGAACGACGAGTTTTTGAACTAGAAATCAACGTAATGAATAGTATTAATTTATGTTAAAAATTATGATACGAGTAGACAATATTTAATAAAAATCGACTGTCTCCAGTGTTGGAGATAGGAGGTATGTATTATGTTCTATTATATGGTTGTAAATAAAATAAATAAAATAAAATTTACCTTAACTTTAAAATTATTTGAAATATTTCTATATTAAATTTTTTTTCTTATTACATACAAAAATTTCTTGATTTCATAAATTATTATTTACGAAATTTGTAAAAAATTTTTTTAAATAAATATTTTGTTTATTCATTTTTCTGTTTATTTTCTCGTACATTATTTATTATTTTTGATTAAATGGTAAACATTCGTCCATTTTTTTTTACTTCTTGTTTTTTTTATTTTCTTATTTTGTTATTATGTATTTTGGCTGCTGGATTTTCAAATGAACAATTCACTGGGTAAATTCATTTTTACTTTTTATTTGATTTTCATTTTATTTTTTGTTAGTAAATATTGACAAAGAGGGAGGCACTCTTTTCAAAATTAAAAATTATAGAAAATAAAAGAAAATTTAAAATTTTATTTTTAAAGTTTATAGGAATAATTTTCTCTTACATGATAATAATAAATGAGTGTGGGTATTTATGCTTGTGTGTATTGGCAAAAATAATTCGCATGTTTTGAATTAAGGCTGCAGCACCGGAAGGATATTGCCATTTTATAAATTTACTTGTATCAATTTGTTTTGATAACATTTAAAATTTTTTGAAATAATATTTATTTAGCCTCATTAATACAAAGCAAGAATACATTTACGGATAAATATTTTTTTAATAGAAATATATATATATATACATATTAATACCTAAATAATATTATGTATACTTATGTAAAAAATAGAAGATATTAAATTGTATATAAATATAATTTTTTACATGGTATTCATTTTTTAACCCTTAACTACGAAATCTCCGACAATAATAGCCAAAAATAACTAAATTATGAAATACAGAACAATGTTCGTATTGTGTGTACATGTCAGGTTCTTTAGTTGTAAGTTATAAAATATAAATGGATGGTCATTGTCTTTGAGCTTAAAACAAAAAATTTGAACAAAATATAAAAAAACATAATTTTATGAGTATAATTTATATATATATACATACACACACATGTACATATATTTATAATATTAGTCCACCATATTGTGTTGACATTTCGTTTTTTATTATCATCTCATATGTATACACGATATTTTTACAATTTTATGTGTATACGAAACATTTATTAACTTGTAAAATATTAAAAAAAAAAAAATTGTTAAATAAATTTACGATGCTTAAAGTGAATATTTTTTTGCTAGGTAAAAATGAAATTTGATATTTCTGATGTCATTCTATGTTAATAATTGTGGTACTCTTGTGGGCAATAGTGCAAAATCTATATTCGCTCACATGATAAAAAATATGGCTTTCATTTCTTTAATATGTAGTGCGATAATGTCGGGTTTGACTCATTTAACTCATTTTTTTGAATATTTAATATATATCAAGACTCATCGGACTCGCGCAAATAAAATTTGAGCTTCAATTGCAAGTCTCCGTCTCAGATATTATTTCAAATATTCTAAAAATATAAAAAAATAATTCATCTATTTTATATTTTAAGCTTAACCATTCGCCTACTTTTATGTAATAAATCTGATATGATGTAGGATTACATTTTGAATATTTTCGGATGCAATATTCTTTTGAGAATTGAGTTCATGTTGGCAGATCTGAAAATGTAGTGCGATTTTGTGAGATTTGAAAGACTTATGAAGAAGACAATATTAGAGTATCGGCATGAAAATTAATGTTGCCAATAATCAGAAACAGAACATTATACTTAAAAATATAATTGAAAATCTATAATTATAAAGTAAAGACGGATGAGGAATTAATGTTAGTTAATATTTTAATTATTTTGAATTAATTTTAAAGGTATTATTTAATTTCAAAAATTTATTGTCATTTAGGCAGTACTTTTAAATTAACAGTCAGCTGTTAATTTAAAAGTAGAATAGCGCTGACTGAATTAGGTTTTAATATCCGCCAACATGGTACTTAATCTAAGTCAAATTAAGGTTAGATTTTGATAGATGATTTTTATCATTTTTTATTAATTAAATTAATATTGCATACAAATAGGCGGAGCCTTTGTTTACTTTTATTATAAAATGGAAACCAAATGATTTTCTTAAATATTTTGAAGCAAAATGAAAATTTTTTTTCTTATGAAGCAAATAATTTATTAAATTAAAATTAATTTTTTTTTTACATATTTCATATTGTGTATGTATGTAAAAAGATATTTTCTTTAAAAATGTCAACAAGGATAACAATAGAAAAATAGAAATAAACTATATAAGAAAAATTACTGAATTGGTTTTCAAAAAATATTATAAATGTTTTGTAATCAATTTAAGGAAATTTATTTTTTATCAACTTTTGAACCTTTTTTTTTTTTATTCTCACATATTCACATATTGTGTGTATTTAAGTTCTTAACCCTTTTATTTTTTTTTTCAATTTACTTTGTTTTTTTTTCATCTATAAGTTCTTTTTAAAATCCAATCATCAATAATCGCAATCGCAACATACATATATAATAAAAAAAAAAAAAATAAACCAATCTTAACAACATTTCTCACATCACCCAATACAACGATTTTATGTTGAAGAAGGAGAAAAAAAAAGGAAGTATATTTCTTTAAAAAGGACACCATAATATTATGAAACGATTTATTTAATTCTTGAATATTGAATATTTCCGTTATTGGTACATACTAAAATCAAATCATTTTGGGCCTGATGCCATATATATCGTTAATGCTATTTAAATTTACAATATTCGGAAGAAAACTTCAGAAGAAAAAAGTGCAAAGAGAAAATTCAATTTTCATATTGTGTATTGCAATGTGTGTTGTGTTTGCGATTTTGGATTTTGATATACATATGTATATAATACATTGTATATACACATGTGTATAAAAAGGGGGAAATCGTGAAAAATAACAAACGTTTTGGTTATTTTTGGTACAAAAGAGTTAAAAATATTATTATTATAAGAGGAACAATTGATAAAATAAAAAAGGCACGCGCCTATATAGCAATAATAACATCCGTTTATTAATGTAACTTTTAAGAATACCAGCTGTATATGTATGCGATTAAATATAAAAATATTTAAAAATAAAAGTAAAGAAAAGCAAAAAAAATCTGATTGGTCAGCATATAATCGATTGCAATGTATATTGTCTAGTTTAGTGAAAGTGCTACAGAAGATTATAACAATGGGCTTTAAACACTTTTTTCCAATATAAAGGACCTAAGTAAACTCTTAGTTAATATTCTTCGAAAAATGTAAATTTGACTCTTAGTAGAGTTTTGTTTTATGTTTGTCAACTGCAACCTGTCAAATGTCATCTGTCACCTGTCAACTGCCAAATGTTACCTGTTAAATGTCATCTGTTAAATGTCAACTGCTACCTGTCAACTGTCAGATGTCAAATGTCACCTGTCAAATGTTAATTGTGAATTGTCAATTTTCGCCTGTCACTTCTCAAGTGTCAAATATCAATTATCAGATATTAAATTTTGGAAGTTAAAAAAGCCTCTTGGTAAAGTTTCATTTTCCATTTGAAATAATTGAAAAGCTCGCCATTTAGTTTCGGTGACAACTAGAATTCATATATTAAATTTCAAGAAAATTGGTTGGTTATTTAGCTTTATATGCGCAAAAGTATAAAATCAATTGCAAAGAGAGCCGATCGTAGACCGACCTGACAGATGGAGATGATCAATATGGAGAAATCCGCTCCCGCTGATAACTCGACATCCGAAATTTGGTACCGTTACATAACCTTTCTTATTTAATGCAATGCAGTCTTTGCAAAAAACGAAAATTAAGTTTGGCATAAAAAAGCTAACATGTATAAATATTTGAATTACGATTATGTATGTGTGCGTGTTTGTATGAGTTCTTATTTGAGTGAAATAAATTTTTTTTTTTATTTGTGAAAAATATTTTGACTTTATTGGAGAATAATTTAAAAAAAAAACATATGGAACCCTTTTTTTTTCGGATTTGATTTGGCAAAAAATTTGTTTTTATTTAAACATTGTTAATGAACAATATGATGAGAAATAAACAAAAAAGAAATGTTTTTTCTGGTCCCTTAAGTAGGTATTTATCATATACTTACAACATACCTATATATATTTTAAGGATCATACATAAGTTTTATGGCAGTAACGCGAATGCCAAAGTAATAAGAAAAAATTAAAACAATAAAAAATTTTCATTTTGTTTTGGCTGGTTTCCTTGTTGCCAAAAAACTGCAATTAACTCTTTGTGAATTTTAAACAATTAAATTTTAGATTTAAATTTTTCGATATTATAATTATACAACTTCGATGGAACAAAAGGCGGATGTTTAACCAAGTCAATATTGGATGTGAAATTCTGAAGCAGCATTTTTAATAACACTAGGATTTTAAGTTAAAATGTGAAAGAATGCAGCGTATACATGAGATATACTCGTAAATGTATTCTTTACTTGAAAGGTAATATTATTCTAATAATTCTCAAACTTAACAGAGTTTTTGTTTACAAAATGTTAGATTTTTGTTTGATGATGTTGAAATACAAAAGGATTCGTGTAGCAAATTACATTAGACATACTGGTTTTATTCACATTTAAGTTAATTTATTAGTTTACAAAATCTAGAGAATTGTAAACGTTAGACAATTAATTCCCAAACTCAGTTAAAAATTAAAATCTCTTACTTAAAATAATTTAAAATTCGAAATTACTAACTTTTGCCTTTGTTATAAGCTTGATTTTCATTTATAACTGTTTAATATAAAAAAAAAAATTAGACGGTTTTTGGGGAATTCTAAATTTGACGCCCAATAGTTCAAGAAATCGGGCTCTAATAGCAAAATATCACCATTTCTTTCTATCACCCTGGTTCTGGAGTTCAATCGAGTCTCGAACACGCTTTATATAATACTCGTATAGGTGCTATTCAAGAATCTATTTTGAATTCTTAGTGGAAATTATATTAAATTAAAATTAATTAATTTATTTATTTTATGAAAATCGAAATTTCTTACATAATTGAGATTATTAAAATTATAGTTTGCCATTTATTGCTTAATTATCCCTTAAATATCCTTGATTACCCCCTTGAAATTATTGAAATCATTATTAAAAAGAACAACAAATGTTATAAATCTTTTCGTATACTTGATTAAATTTTTCTTTATTTCTTTCATATTTTTTAATTATTAATTTTTATAATAATTATTATTTTTGTAAACTTTTTTTATATATATTTATATGTATATATGTATATACTTAATAACTAAAATTTTACATGTAATTTAATTAATAATTTTAAATGTTTTATTATTTTATTTTATTTCTTTCTTATATTATTTTTACATATTTATAATAGTGTTGTCATTTTTATAAATTCAAAATTATCTTAATTTAATATTTAATTTATATATGTATGTATATAATGTACATGAGAATATTAGGAACTATATATTAATTTAATATTATTAATTATTTATAATTTTTTTTTCTCTGTTTATTTATTATTATAAAGGTACTTACAAGATTTTTTCCTTATATGTGTAATTATTAATTATTTAATTATTTAATAATGCCTTAAATATAATATTTATCATATATATATATACATATATATATATGTATGTGTAGGTATATATATTTAATTTTTGTTTTCCATTAAAATTCTATATATTATTTTTCTAATTAAATTCGTTTCAATTTATTTTATTCAATTATATTGATATGAATGTAAAATATATTTTTAAAATATTATGATCTTTAAGATTCGGAAAAGAAATGGTATAATGGTATATATAATTGAGTTACAAATGATTTTGAGTTTTATAATAAATTTTATGCAAATATATTTTCGATTTGAATTAAATTTATTTTTAAATAATTAGTTAATTATAGTTTAATAAGCATGGAATTTATGTAATTCTTCGATTTAGCCTGAATTCTTAATAACTGTTATACCAAAAATAAATGTTATACCAAAATAAACTTACAAACTTAATATAAGATTCGTTAATATACGGGAAATTATTGAATTACTAAAAAATCAACGTAATATACATAAATATTATTAAATTTCAATTTAAATATTGTAAATGTCAAATATACAGCATTTAAAATGTCAGTTTGAGTTTTTATTTTATAAAATTTCAGAATTTCAGAATTGATATTTTAAAATATTCTGTAAAGTGTGAGTACATATATATTTAATATATTGTATTGAACATGTATTTAACAAAATTTTGACATTTAATATATAATAATATGTTTTCAAGAATACGTACTTTGTCAATTTTATGTTTTATTACCTTTCCTTTCAATCAACTGTTTATATGTCGATTTGTCTTTCTTATATTTAAGTATACGTTTATTTTGGTATATCGTTAATTATGAGTAACATAATAATGTTTGCGCTTCATTTAATTGTAAATATAAAACTCTACATGTATAACATTTTAGATGCATAGCATATAAGACGTATAACACGTAACTGTAAACGTAAGTATAACAGATGCAAAACAGTGTAAACTGTAGCACTTATAATATACAAGAGTAGTTAAGAGAAGTAGTAGAGCATTTTTATTCCGATAGGTGGCTTAATTTTTTGATATATGGAGAAGTTTTTACTAATAAAATAGTTTTCGATTCACAATTTTCTCTCAAATACTCTCTAGAGCATGGATGTCAAGACTTTTGAAACTATGGGCCAATTTCCAATATTCTGTTTGACAAAAGGGCCACAAAATAAAACAATTAATTCAATTTTTAAGGTGTATAAACGTTTATTTATTTTTTATTAGAAGTACTGGGAGCTGAGTGACACTGCTTCTGTTGAACAAGTCTTAAAATATTGGGTTGCATATTTGTAGTAGCCAATTGGGTTGCATATTTGTAGTTGTAATATTTTAACAATTCGTTTTAGAGGGCCGCACCAAAATAAGAAAATGGCCGCATGCGGCCCACGGGCCGCACTTTTGACATCCATGCTCTAGAGTGTTGTATACTTTTAAATGAAACGATAACAATAATGAAAGTAATCACAAAACAGGTATAAAAACAAATTAAAATAAATTTTATGTAGTAAAACAGAAAAAGAATATTGCATTATTTGCATATTAAATTTACATAATAACTAATTTTGTTCATTTGTGACCTTAATATGAAACTACTCTAACGATATTCAATATTACCATTTCGTGATTCATAAAAATCAATATTATTATTATTGGAATTAATTGATGGTATAAAATGAAATTTTTTAAAATCTTGATGATGATAATTATTATTATTATTAATAGTAGAATTTATTGTTGAACGTTTATCGGATAATGGTGATAATTCATTATGATTATCCATGAAATTTTGAATTGAATTTTTATCATAATCATAATCTGCGTTAAAATTTTTAAAATTTTCTATAATTTCTTTATTTTTCCAAAAATTTGCTATAGATGATGTTGATGTTGATGATGGCGATGACATTAATCTTGATGATGTTGTCATTAAAGGTCATTCAGGTCTAATTGGTAACATTAAATTTGAATATTGTTGATGATGATGATGATGGTGATGATGATGAAATTGTTGTGATAAATTATTAAAAGGTGAATTACTTGAAGATGAAGTTATAAATGGTAATTGATGATGATTATTTTCTATATTACCATTATGACATATATTTGATGGTAATCCAAATAAATTTGCTGTATTATGATTAAGAGATGATAATGCTGATAATGATGATAATGGTGGTGGCGGTATTGGTGGTGGTGGTGGACTATCCAAACCATTAGCTTGTGGATTAATACGTTTCTCTTTTTGTCTACGATTACAAAACCAAACACGTACAACTTCTTTTTCCATACATAAATTATCAGCTAAATTAGTTATTTCTTCACTAGTTGGCTTTTGGTTAAACATAAATGCTTTTTCTAATGCACCCCTGACGGTTGTTTCAATTGATGTACGTTTTTTACGTCGTCTTCCAATAGCTTCACTTGCTGCAAATGGATTATTTAAAGGACTTGTTCCAAATATTCTGTGTGTTAAAGAGAAAAAGAAAAATTAAATAAAAGTAAATTGAAATTAAAAAAATAAAAGTATTTACCCTCCAGTTTTGGGCATTGTTGTATCAGCATCTTCCAACCATTTCTGTAATAACGGTTTTAATTTGCACATATTTTTAAAACTTAAATTTAAAGCTTCAAATCTTGATATGGTAGTTTGTGAGAAATCATTTCCATATAATTTTCCCATCGCCAATCCAACATCACCTTGTGTAAAACCTAATTTGATACGACGTTGTTTAAAAGTTTTTGCAAATTGTTCTAATTCTTCAAGATCTGTTGATTCTTCAGGAGAATGTTGATGATGATCTAAAATAGCTCTTGGTGTTGATGACAAATTAATTTGATTTGAATATGATGGATTATTGGGAGTACATGGTGTTAAAACACCACCAATTCCAATACTTGTACCAGATATTGTATTTGGTGGTGTTTTATTTTGAATTTGACTATTATAATATGCTGATAATGGTGTTCCAATTAAATCATCATCATCTTCATCATCATTAATTGTATTGATATTTTTAATACGATTATTATCATCTCTAATATTCTCTTGTTCATCATCTTCATCATCTTCATATTCTGAATCAATAATTGTTGTATTTTTACGTTCTTTGATATGTTTTAATTTATTTTTAACGCTGATAGGTGATAGAGAAGGACTTCTCAAAGGTGATCCGATTATAGTAGGTGTTGAAGAATTCGGTTTTATGTGATCATGATGTTGTTGTTGATGATTTTGTTGTTTTTGCTGTTGTAAAGCATGTAATTGTGCCATAGCATGTAATGAATTTTGTAAAAGTATTTGTGTTGCAGCCATTGTTGTTGCATCTTGTTGTGATTCTATTGGATTACCATCTATTGGAATTGATGATTTATCGTGCGGTGTTACTTGATGCATCATTTCAATATAATTTTGAAGTTGCATTTGAAATGCATGTTGTAAATCATGTGGACTTAATGTATTTAAATTTATTTGATTTTGATGTAAAAAGAATGGTCCAAATGGTGAAATTGAAGGATGATGAGAAGGATGATTAGCGTTTGTATGTGGTATATTTCCAAGATTTGGAATAGTTTTTGTTGGAATTATCGGAGATTTACATTTTGTGTGTGGTAAATGATTTTTTGTTGGTGATTCTTCAAGATCTTGTCGTAATTTCAATATTTTGCCAGATACTTCAATTTTCTCTTCTTCTTCATTATTATTATTGTTATTGTTGATTAATTGTGATGAATTTTTTTCCTGATTTTTTGATATGTCTTTATTTGCTAAATTTAAAATCTCTTCATTATCTTGTTTTTCAGGAGCTTTCGATGTATTATAACTAATGGGAGTTTCTGGGCGTGTTGGCTGTTGCTGTTCTTCATCATCGCTCAAATGTTCGATTTTAACATTTTTGACTGTAAAAAGAAGTTGAAATAGAATTTATTATGAAATTTTTTTTTATAGAGTAAATTACTTAAAGTTAAAATACTTGATAGTGTTTGACACTAGGCAAATTAAGAGTTTTTGGAACAATTTTCAATAATAAATTTTTTAATAAATAAATTTCAACCCTTTTTTTCTTATTAAAAAGAAAATTTTATTGTATAAAATTTATTAAAATTTTTGGTTAAATTACTCAATTCATATATAGAGGCCACAGCCAACGCAGACTAGTAGTCCAGCAGGAGGAATTCTTGTTGAGGAGAGAAAAAAAAAAACATGTGTTGTTATCCTGCCAATTTATTAATAAATGGGGGTTATGTTTAACAATCATAAATTGTTGTGTATTTTTCACTTCATATTGGTGATTTTTTTTTTATTGATTTTATTACAATGAAAATGAATTATTTATAGTTTTTTTTTTAAGGAACTAAAAAATAAGGGTTAAAAAGACAAGATGTTAAGGATATTAAATGTTTTTTTTTTTTATTTTTTTTTGATTAAAAATTATAAAGGTATAATAAATTTTGTGTTCTATGGGAAATTATCATTATTATTATATTATTTATGTTGTTTTTATTGTAATATGCTTGTTTATTTAAGTTGAGAGTTTTTGTATATTGTGAATGATTGATTGGTGACTTTTGACTTTATTGTATTTAGAAATTTTATATAATTATGTACCATGTTTTTCTATTTAAACTCGTAGTTTGCATGTATGCATGTGTGTAAAGTATAGAATTATGCAGTATGTTTGTCATATTATTTTAATAATTATGGTAATTATTGTCTCAATATTTTAAAATTGAAAATTTCAATAGTTATAGCCATTGCGTTCCAGGCGGATTCTCAGATTTTAAAGATTTTAACAGTTTTTTAAATAAATTGCGTTCCAGACAGACGAATTTTTGTATTCTTACGGCGTTTTTAAACAAATTGCGTTCTAGGCAAACAGATTTTCGGATTTTAATGATTTTTTAAATAGATTGCGTTCGAGACACATGAATTTATTGTATTCTTGCGTGTTTTTAAATAAACTGCTTCCCAGAAAGACGTGTTATGGCATTTTAACGATTTCTTAAATAAATTGCGTTCCAGAGAGGCGAATTTTTGTATTTTTGTGGGGTCTTTTAATAAATTGCGTACTAGACACATATGAATTTTCATAATCTTAGGGGTTTTTTAAATAAATTGCGTTCTAGGCAGACAAATTTTCCTATTTTAATGGTTTTTTAAATAAATTGCGTTCCAGACAGACAAATTTTCATATTCTTTCGGGTTTTTTTAAATAAATTGCGTTCTAGGCAGACAGATTTTCCGATTTTAATGGTTTTTTAAATATATTGCGTTCTAGACACATAAATTTTTGTATTTTTACGAGTTTCTAAATAAACTGCGTCCCAGATAGACGTGTTGTTGTATTTTAACGATTTTTTAAATTAATTGCGTTCCAGATAGATGTATTTTTGTATCTTAACGGTTTTCTTTAAATAAATTGCATCCTAGATAGACGCATTCTCATATTTTAACGTTCTAGACAGATAGCACTTGGCCAAATATATAAAAGTAATTTTGATATACGGCGGCGAGATTTTTGTAAATTTTAGTACAATTTCTCTTAAAATAAAAAAAATTTTGGTGCTTTTGCACACAAATCCATTAGTTTTGTAAATTCAATTTTTAATTGGTTTTCTTTTATATAAAGTAAGGTTAGACTTTTTATCCCATTGATGTACTGCATAACTATTTTCTTATAAAAAAGCATAGTTTTTTTTATATGAAGTTTTGACATACGTTGTTTTGGTATTTTGCAATTCCCAAAATTCTACTATGCTCCCGTCGTGTTTGGACGACTGAATAAATAAGTAAAAAGTAATAAATTCATAATTTTTCTAATATTTTCTTATTTCTTTTATAAATTTTGTAAATTTCCACTAAGTTTCACATATAATTTAAAAAATATGAAAAAAAAAAAAAACAAATTTTGTAAAATGTAGAAAGTTTTTTCTTAACCATTATCCTTTGGTAATATCCGTAATTTTATTTTAAGTAAACAGAGAGAGAGAGAGAGAGGTAGAGAGAGATAGTGAGGACGGGAGAGGGAGAGAACATATACAATATGTTTAAAATCAACAAAGGCACAATATTTAAGAAATGTTCAAATAAGCAAGTAGCAATATCTAAGATGCGAAGGACGAAAACAAAAACAAAAAATTGGAATAAATTTGTTTTTTTTTTTTTTCAGTAATATTGAATGCACAATCATTATCAACTTCAAACAAGCATATGAGAACAACAACCTCTTCTATACAATTTCATCATACACACATGTACAAAATTCTAATAAAAAAAATTTAATTCTTCTTTTACCGCATGTAAGTGTGTTGGTTTTTTGATTCTTTTGGAATGGACAAGGGCTTTTTGTCTTCGTTTTTCTTTTTTTTTTTTAAAGGACGCAAATTTTATTCAATCTTCCAGTTGACCGAACCATTTTGACCATTTCAATGAAGATGGAGCTTATCAATATTTGACCATACTTCGTATACACGATGAAATGGAAAATAAAATTAAATGTAAAAAAAAAAGGACCAAAGAAATCATCTTAGATTGTGTATAATATTAGAAAATGGGGACAACTACACAAAAGGACATTATAATAATAATAATGTTTTTCTATTCAAATTGTTATCCTTCTGCATAAATAGTTATGTAGAAATTTGTGGAAAAAAAAATTAAAAACAACATTTTTTTAATGGTAAATTTTTCGACATGTTCTAAATAAAAATTATGGAAGCAAAAATATGGTAAAGGTTTTGAAGGATGTAAAAGAAAAAAGAGTCCTTTAAAATTTTTTTTTTGCTAATTTAATTTCGATAATTGGAAAAAATTCAAGATCTCAAATTCAATATGTTAATAATTTTATGACAAAAAGCAGTCACATTGTCCGAAATATGATTGAAAATTAATTTCAAATGAAATTCTAAAATTTAATGGTTGAAATTTATTCTTTACTTATGAAGAATTCAATCTGGAAGTTGCGAAAATATTATTTGAATGGCATATATAGAAACTTGTTCCTTTATACGATCGATATCTTTAATTGTTAAGCGATGAAGTGTTGTAATGTCTTAGTGAAACCTTATGATTTAGATTGTTTTCACAATTAGTTTTGATGACTGTGCAATATTCTCTTAACTCTCCATGTCTTGTGTAGTTTAATGTAAACTATAGTGTAATCTGAAGAATTAAGTAATTACAAATTAGCAATACAATGTGCAGTTGTTTAGCTTTAGAATAAATTATGGAAAATCGTTTATACAACTTCAGAAAACATGAATGATCTAATCAAAGGAACAGGCCAAAGTAGAAAAATTTAAAGAAAATTTTCTCCTCGAACTAGACTCGAACCAGTGATTACCGCTTTCTAGGCGGACATTGTATCATCTGAGCTACAGAGGTATGAAAAAATTTCCCGGAAATTGTTCTCCGAAAATTTTAGCAAAATATATAGATTATGATCTATATACTCGTATTTATTTGGACGTTCTTAAATAAAATTATCACAGCTATATTGTAACGACATCTCACCGTTAATAAAATTTTTTACATTACAACTTCAATGAAGTTTTTAACATATAGCATTACAACTTCGATGAAATTGTAAATCTGCCGAAACGTTATTCGCCGCAAGTTCGAAGTCGCCAACATAACATATTTCCTCAGGCCACCAAATCGCTTTTTATCCAATGTTCTACAAATGGATATTGCCCGGTCTTTCACTTTTCTAGAACTCATATCAGTAAAGACATAAAAATTTTTGCTAACTTTTCGGTTTAAGATCATTTATGAGGAGTGATAGTGATAATTATCGTAAAATTTCTATAATATTATTGTCAACACAAATCAATTCATACACAATGATTCGTGTCCATACTAAATCAATAAAAATATCACTATCACTTAGTGATTCGATACTCAGAATAAGCCCAAATTATTTTAAAAGTCAGACTTATCGTAGAATCCTGAAAAACTATATAGAGATTTTTATTTTGCAAACAAAATTTATCAGTTGATTTTAATCAATAAAACACGCAAATTTACGCCATATTTTATAGTTCTCTTGTATTAACAAATTTAAGAAAAAAAAAAATGGGTATTGTAAACTTGCAGATTTGAAATTATTGATTAAATTTTTTAAATACTTGAATTGCAGTAGGCATTATATTCTACTTATAATCAGTTTGAGTTTACAATTAAATCCTTGAATTTCAATAAATATGGATGAATTTTTTTCTATACTTTTATGAATACTTCCGATTTTTTACCTTATTTTAAAAAGTTTTATAAATTGTGGTATTTGAAAATCCGATTTGTCATATTATATGCAATATAACCCCACTCAATCCACTCTATATATACACAATGTACAATGAAATCTAAAAAAAAATATAATCAAAATGCTTCCTATATTTAATTATTGTGGTTGACTTTGTCTTCTATATTGTATGATTTTCTATTAATCTAATTTTTATACTTTAATTCGATGAGAAAGGAAAAATTTTAATTATTTTATTCTTCATTTTAAAAATTAAAATACTTCTAAAATAAAATTAGAAACATCTGCCTAACACTATATAGATTATCGTTATATCTGAATGCTGTTGAATACTGCATTAGTTTGTATATGCTATCAGTTGAACAGACCTTATTAAGCGTACGCCCGTTGGTGACATTTTACTATTTTCTCAATAAATATATATATATATAAAGTCTGTGATAAGCCAGTTATCTATGCCAATCTACCCCTTTATTTTTTATGAAATTTTTTTAAAATGAAATCTTTAACAATTTAAAAAAATTTTTTAATTTATACCAATAAAAAAAAACGAAATATCGCAATAAATTTAAAGTTATTATTGATTTGACCCTTATATAATTATAACTATGTACTTATATAACAATTTATATATATATT